CCCCCCCCCCCGCCAATTAAGCACCAGGTGGGGAGGGGGGGAAATGAGCGCCTGGGAGCAGCCCCGCCCCTCTCTACCGGAAGTGCCCGCCCCCACTTCCGGTAGGCCGCGTTTCGAGCCTGTCACGTGGGCCAACGGTCCCCGGAGAGCCCCCTCCGAATCCCAGACGGCCACCCCGCGGGTCCCTCACCGTCGGGGTCGAGGCTCGCCCGGTTTGTTTTGTGATTCTGCCGGCGGCTGCGACGGGAGGCTCCGTTCAGGCCTCGCCCGGCCGGCCCCGTCGGATGCCCTGAACGCCAAGATGGTGGCGGTGGTGGTTCTCCCCTTCACTTTATCCGACCCTCGAGAGCAGCACGACGCGCTCTCCGCTGCTACTACTGCTGCTGCTGCTCCGCCGTCGCCGGGGCTTCTCCGCGTCCCCGGCTCTCAAATCTCCCCTCAGAAAAAGCCCGGCAAAATGGCGCCGCCCAAGGCTTTTCTTTCTTCACAGTTCGCGCATGCGCCGGCGAGGGAAGGAAAAAATCGGCCCCGCCCCCTTGAAATGCGCAGGCGCAGAAGGAAGAAAAGCGACCGCTCGAGCGCGAGAAAGGGGCGGGGCCCCAAGAACGGCGCCGAGCGACGAATTAGTTCTTCGTTGTTAGCCGCCAAGGGGCGGAGCTTCATTTCTTCCGCGGAGTTCTCCATTCATCACGCGGCTGACAGGCCGCGAGGGGGCGGTGCTTGACAATGTGGGCGGGGCGCCACGTTTTTATGAATGGGAGATATATATTTTTTTTCCCACTCCCCAAAAAAACAACTTTTTAGGGGCTAGTGGTCCCAAGTATGGAAAAGGATGTCGGTTTTTTCCATTTTTATTTTTATATATTTTTTATTTTGTTTCCAGATTTTGTTCTATTGTGCTTTGTTAATTTATTTGATTCTTTTTGTTATAGTTTTTATTATTTTTTGTTTTGAACATGGTTTTTTACATTGTGTAAGCCGCCTTGAGTCGCCATGGGCGAATAGGCGGCAATAAATAAATAAATAAATAAATTCTTCTTCTCCTCTTTCTCCTTATTTTAGCTGCCCAAACCCCACCTCCCCAGGGCCATTTTGTGAGTGCGCCCACAAAACCAGGCTCCAGACTCCCGCTATCACCCTGGCTCCATCTCTCTGCTTCCCCCCCCCAGGCTCCCTTCTTGCCTTAAGAGCCCCAAAGTGCCCTTCCACCCTTCTTCCCCCCCAAGCCCACCCCCCCCACCCCCCCCCCCCCCCCTGTCCCCCCCCCCCCCACTCCCAGAGACCAGACCAGGCCAGGCCCAGTGCACACTAAATAGCTTTTTAATCAACAGCGCTGCCTCAGCAGGCGGTTACAAGGCACCTCGGGTTGCTCTCAGCCGGGCAGAGAAGCCGCAAGAAAAGGGAGGGAGGGGAGAGGAAAAAGGCGCCGCGAAGAGACAGCAAATGTCCCCCACCAGGGTCAAACTCCCCCCCCCCCAAAAAATAATACCCCCCCCAAGCTTTGCTGCATTCCCGCGACGGCCGCTCAGCGGGGCTCAGGTTTCCTCCGAGAAAAAAGGGTTGCAGGCCACGGTTATGGCGGCCACCAGGATCACAAACTCCTGGAAATCCACTTCTCCGTCGCCGTTCTCATCCAGATCGTGCATGATCTTGTCCACCGCTTCCGGCTCTCTCTGGGTCTGGGAAAAAAAAGAAATCGGACGAGGATTTTTTGGGGGGGAAGGCAGTGGTGGGATTCCAATTTTTTTTTTAAAATTACCAGTTCTGTGGGTGTGGCTTGGTGGGCGTGGCAGGGGAGGGTTACCGCAAAATCCCCCCTTCCCTCACCACGGCAACTAACCTGCTTTCCAGCTCCGTTCTCCTGTGCAGGGCAACCAGAAGAAGACCCAGCCGATCAGCTATGGGCGTGGCTTGGTGGGCATGGGTGTTCTGTGGGGGGGGCTTGGGGGCTTAGTGGGCGTGGCTTGGTGGGCGTGGCAGGGGAGGGGTATACTGCATAATCCCTATTCCCTCCCCACCCCACCAGCCTGCTTTCCAGCTCCGTTCTCCTGTGCAGGGCAACCAAAGGAGACCCAGCGGATCAGGCTTTGGGCCTATCCCCAGGAGACGGGGAGTTCTAGTCCCACCTCAGGCATGAAAGCCAGCCGGGTGACTTTGGGCCCATCCCCAGGAGACGGGGAGTTCTAGTTCCCCCTTCCACCCATGGCTTCTTCTCCGGCCTTCTGGTGCTTTGGAGAATAGCTGGACTCCCCTCTTCTTTGGGGCAGCCCCTCAGATAGATTGCTTATCACGCCCCCCCCGCCCCCGGGTCCTTCTTTTCTCTAGACTAGATGACCTCCAGGGTCCCTTCCAGCTCTATTCTGACCGATGGAAGAGAAAAGCCCAGTTGAAAGAGAAAGGACCCCCCGGGCGTCCATCTTGTCTCACCTCCAAGAGGCAGCCCAGCTCGTTCTGCAGCAATTCCTTCAACTCCTTCTTGCTCAGCTTGTACTTGTCGCCTTCCTTGCCGGAGTAGTTGTGGAAGACGGAGATGAGGGTGTCCACGGCGGTCTCCAATTGCGACGCCATCCTGGGGCCTGCAGAGAAAGGGGGGACGGGGGGGGGAGGATGCTGAACGAAGGCACCTGTGTCGCGAAAACTCCGGCATTGTCTGTCTAAAGAGCAACTCGGAGGGAGGGAGAACACGCCTTCCTTCTTTCTTTCCTTCCTTCCTTCCTTTCTTCCCTTCCCTTCCATCCACCTATTTATCTACCCATCTATCCTTTCTCCCTCCTTCCTCCCCTTCCTTCCTTCCCTTCCATTTATCTATCCATCTATCTATATTCCT